GAAGGCATTTCTCACCATCTGGATTCTCTATCCTCACAGAGCAATGTTCTTCCCTCATGGAACCACCCCTTCCTAACCCTTCCACTGGGCCTCATGAGATTCATGGTCAGGCACCAGCAAAATTTCTATTTCAACTCTTTTTCTGAACATTCCTCTAAGGACCTTGCTTCCTCTTAAGCCCTCTTAAGTGGTGTGATTTCTTTTCTACATCCTTCTGGGACCTAGAGGTGGGCCTTCCTTGCATTTCATTCATTACCACTTGCATTCTATCGCCACACCTTCTCTTTAATAATTTAAAAAAAAAAAAAAAGCTTGAAACTGCCATCAGACCACCTATAGATTCTTAAAGAGAAATCCCCCTAGTTCCCTAACAAGTTTTAGCACAAGGCTCACTGTTATTTTCTAACACTATTTGTATCATAATTCTTAAATGTTTTCAATATCCATATAGGTGAATATAAGTCTTCTGATTCTCAATTTTGTCTTCTGCCCCCTCTCAGAGTCCCACAGTCATAGACTAGATTTTGTCTTTACCAATATAGCTACTGCTCCATAATCTCAATTTCAATCATCCTAATAACTTATGTTATCACCTGATACCCTTAATACCCTAGACATCTTTAATATCCTAACTCTAACAATTTTCTTAAAAATATGTCTTTACTGATTTCAGAGAGAGGAAGGGAGAGGGAGAGACAGAAACATCAATGATGAGAGAGTCACTGACTGGCGGCCTCCTGCACCTCCCCCCACTGGGGATCGAGCCTGCAACCTGGGCATGTGCCCTGACAGGGAATCAAACCTCGACCTACTGATCATACATAGGTCAATGTTCAACTGCTGAGCCACGCCGGCTGGGCCTAACTCTAACAATTTTTTAAATTCTATTAGGATCTACATTCTACTGAAACTACCTTTTCACCATCTCTCCCTTCAAGTTCTCACATCCCTCCTAAACTGGCTTAAATTCCACAGTCTGTTACTAATATCACTCCTCTGCATCACCCTCAAACCCCTTGGCTCTCTTTGACTTTGTAATACTTACCAGGCAAAATCCCAGCCCTGGTTAAATCCAACTCTCTGCCTATTATTAAATTTGCACTCACAGAACTAAATACGGCTGAAGAAAAACATATAACCAGGTTATATGTCTCACTTTAAATTTATGATTACTAACCTGAAGTAGGCCTTTAGTGCTGCACAGCAATCCAACTAGATTCCCTGGATCATTCAGTTTTCCATCTCTTCTATCTATCTATCTATCTATTCTTTTTTCAAACCTCCGCCTCCTCCCCACTTTCAACTAATGCTTTTACGTCCTATTCACTGAGAAAACAGAAACAATCTATAGAAACTGTCCACATGTTCTCCCCATCCCTTCTAGATGCTCCTTTGCTCCACATATGAATTTGACCATGCTCCTCCTACCTTTGGCCAATCTCCCTCTTATACACAATATACTAGCCCCTCATACCTAATCAGGACATCACTACAGCAATTCAACCCCCTTCCGCTACAAAATCAATTTATCCCTCTCTATTGGATCATCTCCAGTCATATATATGGTGTAACCTTGCTCCCCTTCAAATAAAACAAAAATCTTTCCTGATCCCACATTCCTATCCAACTACCCTCATTCTCTGAGTGTCATACTCACTAACTCCAATTTCTGCCTTCTCTTGAATCCACTGAAACAAGGTTTTCATCTTTAAAAAGTGATTTTAGAGAGAGGGGAGGAGGAATGGAGGAAGAGGGAAAAAAGGAGAGAGAGAGAAGGGGACAAGGGAGAGAGAGACAGACAGACAGACATCGATTTTGTTGTTCCACTTACTTATGCATTCATTATTTGCTTCTGGTATGTACCCTGACAGAAGATCAAAGCCACAACCTTGGTATATCTGGACAACACTCTAACCAACTAAGCTATCCGCCTAGGGCAAGGTTTTCATTCTTACCTCTCCATTAAAACGACTCAAAATCATCCATGTCCACCATCACTAAAGCTAATGGTGAATTCTCAGTCCTCAATTTGACCACCAGCAGTATTTGACACAGTTTATAAATGTCCTTCTCAAAATGCTTACTTCATTTGGCTTCTAGACCTCATTCTTATATCCTGGTTTTCTATTTTTCTAGCCACCCCCTTAGTTTGCTTAAATGGATCCTCCTCCTCTAATTTGATCTTTAAATATTTTGAATTGTTTCAGGGCATACCCCTTGAATCTTTTTTCTTAACTACATTCATTCCCTCCCTAGGTGATTTCATCCAAGTTCATAGCATTAAATATCATCTCGATATTGACAACTCCCACATTTAACTTTCTAGCCAAGACCTCAATCCTGAATTCCAGGAGGCATCAGCTAAAGATAGAGATTTCTATCTCTAGTTCACATTTCTTCTCTGAGCTTTACACCCATTTATTCAGTTGTCTACTTCTCTAGTCAAATAGCTCAAAGAAATCCTACACTAATCATGTCCAAAAGCAAACTCATAATCTCCACCCTCATTCTACCTCTGAATATGCTCCTCTCCAAGTGTTTTAAACATCTGTGAATGGTACTATCACTTCCCCAAATGTAACATCCAGAATTGCATAGTATCCTAGACACCTCCCTCTCCTTCATCCTTAGTATCTGATCCATCCTATTGATTTTACCTGTTAAATGTTTCCCAAATGTATCCTTTTCTACATTCCCATGTCTACTCTAGTCCGAGCTTCCATCACATGAACCAGACTAATACAGATACCTTCTAATAGTCTCTCTGCATCCACTTCTGCTCCTTTTCCTCCATGCATCTTCTCAAAAACAAGAGTCTGATCATATCTCCTCTCAGCTTCAAATCTTTAATACCCTCCTACTACTTTTATTATAAAGTTAAGATTCCTTAATAAAGCCCAAAGGCCTTGGATAGGACGTCCACTGTCTACCTTCACAAATTCACCTCATGTCAATCTCTGCAACACTGTCCACATTTTAGCATCACTAGGTTTCTTTCAGTCCCTTGAGTGTACCACAGTCTCTACTCCCACTGGGCCTTTGCACATGGTATTCCCTCTTTCTCGAATACCAACACCACCACCCCACTACCACCACTTATTTCTTTATACTTCTTAATGAGTATTCGATCTTCAGATCTCATCTCAAGAAATACTTCCTCATGGATCTGGCCAGATAGTTCAGCTGTGTAGAGCATCATCCTGATACACCAAGGATGCAGGTTTGATACCTGGTCAGGGCACATATAAGTATCAACCAATGAATGCATAAATAAGTGTAACAACAAATCTCTCTCTCAAAAATCAATTAAAATAAGTAAATAAAAAGAAACACTTCCTTGGAGAAGCCTTCCTTGCCTCTTCAAACTAGATCAACTTCCTCTCATTTAGGCTTATCACTGCACATATCGTTTAATATTTCTAAGTGCATTTCTAAGTGTAGATTTATTTTATGTGGTTTATTGTGCTCAATGTCAATCTAAAAAGACCTTAAAGTCAATGAAGGAACAGATTGTGCTTTGTTTACACTATTGTATTTTTAGCCTTCAGTGGAATAGACATGTAAATATTTTTTTCAACGAAAATATCAACACAGAAGTGACAGAGTTGGACAGTGCTGCATAGGAATGGGATTTAGGAACTTTTAATAAAAGGGACCAAAATAGTCCTGGCCAAGTGGCTCAATTTGTTGAAGTGTCCTCTTGTACACCGAAAGGTTTCAAGTTTGATTCCTGGTCAGGGCAGATACCTAGGTTGAGGGTTCAATCCCAGGTCAGGGCTCATATGGGAGGCCACTTATGGGAGGCAACCGATCAATGCTTCTCTCTCACATCAACATTCCTTTCTCTCTGCCCCCCTCTCTCCCCCTTACTCTCTCTCTCAAAATCAATGAAAACATATCGGGTGAGGATTTGGGGAAAAAAGGGGGGAGGGCTGGTGGGATCTGGTCCCCTGGGAAAAATATCATCATAGGACTCACACAAAGAAAATAAATTGGGGGGGGGTGTGGTAAAGCCATCAGAAAGTTAAAAACAACAAAAAAGGAAATAGCATCATGAAAGGTAAGGGCAGATAAAATACAAAAAAGAAAGGGCCACTGAATTTGACAAGTAGGCACCTAGCAATCTGACAAAAAAACTAATAATGTGAGATGTGGTAAGGAAGTGAACAAAGGTAAAATACAGAAGAAAGCTCACATCTTTCCAACTCCCTTGGAAGTAAGGTTATAGACTGGTTAACTATTTTGATATCCTTAAACTACCATGACGGTCCGTGTAGAACAATAAATCTAAGGAAAATGTATGTGCCATTTTATATTTCAACCTTATTTCTATTTGTACGAGTTGTTTTGGGCCGACTGCTTATATAACATGTAAAAATAAATGTTCTAATATTTACACCCGAAACGGCTTTTTGCTTCTCAAAGTACTTTACCTCCCAGAATCATCAAAACAGACATCTGTGTGTCCCTCCGTATGTCCGTATCTCATCGGCTTCTGTGTGGCAGGCATCTTTTCCTTCACCTACGTGAAAGACTTTTATAAAACCCGGTATTCTTTTAAAAGAGAAAAAGCCGGGGGCTGGAAAAGAAAGGTGGTTAGCCGCCCTACGGGCACGCTCTCGACAGCCCCTTTTCCCCCACCCGAGTGGCACAAACAGAAAAAAACGGAGGGTCTGTCAGACAAAACGCCGGGAAGAGAACACGTCTCTCTCTGGCACGAGAAGCGAGAGGAAGGACTCACCAAGGTGCCCGAGCCTCCGCGACTGAAGAACCGAGAGGCAACCACCGGCGCCGAGACGCTTCCCGCGCTCCGGCGCGCTCGCCACACTGCGCCTGCGCGGGCCCGCCCCGGCCCAGCGCTAATTCAGACCCTAGGTCGCGGGCTGGTGACGTCACTGCTCTTCGCTGCAAAGAATAAAAGCTGGCTGCTGGGGGAGTGAGAGAGAAAGGGAGGGAGCCGAACACGGAAGTGGTGGTAGCACCGGGGGAGCAAGTGGAGGCGGCGACAGCGACGTCACAGACAGGAACCCAGCGCAGAGAGGTGGGAGCTTGCAGAAAGGCAGCCGCCTGGTAGGACCTATATGAGGTGCCGGAGTGGCTGCGCCTCCCTTCTCCACCTCAGCGAGCACCCAGACTGATGGCGGTGGTGATGGCGGCTGTTACTCGGCCGGCCCCAGTGAAACTGAGCTTGGAGAGGTGAGTGGGGGAAGGGTGGTTGCTGCCTGGCCTTGCTGATTGGGGTCCGCTCCTACCTTTCAGGCTCCTCACGTGCAACCATTTCCGGCACCCTGTACGGGTCCAGCCCCTCTTTGACGTCCGGTGGAGAATGTGATCTTTGGGCATCTTCTCTAGAAAAGGCGGCGAGACCCTTCTCAAGACTTTAATCTTGGCATCCTTCGCACCCTCACCTTGTCATTTTTATAAAGATAATATAGAGGGAAAACTTAATCACAATTTGTGGTCCTTGGAAGTTTGGCGAGTACATTAACGCGTAATCCTGGGGACTCTACATATATCCCTGAAAAAGAAAGTTGGGTTTCCCTGTTCAGACCCCACTTAAAGTTCGCTGAAGTGCGTATTTGGATCTAAAAGAGGAGCTAGAACTAAACTGTGTTGTTGGATACTTCTTTCGGTCTCTTATGCTTTGCTTGTGTCTTCACGTTCTTCATGTTAGTAGACCGGTCTCCGATGAAAACCTTCACAAAGATGTGTGTGTGTGTGTGTGTGTGTGTGTGTGACCCAACACTTAGCCTCAGTCATACATTGTTCATGACATAAGTGAGACGTTTTTCTGTTTTTCGATCTGGTTCCAGTTTGAAAGGTTGCAAACGCATAGTTAAGACAAGCCGTGGTATTGTTCTTACCGTGGTGGCATAGTGTCAGGGGTTGTTTTGAGTACCGGGGCTTCAAATAGGCTTGCTAGACACTGAGGTTTGGTATATGAATGAAGAGGAAGAGTGATTGGCTGAAAAAGAACTTGGGGATCTGTGGGAAAATAACCAACCTATTGTTGAATTCCCTCTAGAGAGAATTCATCTCTGAGTGACTTAATATTATTTGTAGATCATTCGTTTTTTAGATATACTGATTTATAACATTTTTTATCCAAGTAAATATCACTGGATAGGGTTCAAGCTGAACTCTGACATTGTTCATCTCTATATTGAATAAATCATGATGAGATTTCAGTGGTAGTGTTATTCAGAGCTCAGCATAAGAAGAATTTGCAAACTGAAACAAGAGTTATAGCTATAAAATGCCCTAACTATAGTATCTATGGTACCGTTTGACTTTAAAATTATGAGTACTGTGCACATTTCTGTCCGTTTGCTTTGCTTAGCAGTCAAGCCATTTGACTCATAGGGTAAAGAAAGTTTTCCTTTACAAATTTCACATATATGAAAAGAGCTTGGGCTTTAGAGTCAAACAGCCCTAGGTTTTACTTTTGACTTTGACAGTTACTCGTTGTGTGACGCTGAATATGCTCCTTTAGTTTTTCAGAATGTCAGGTTCCTCATCCCTAAAATGTAAATGATACCTACCTCTATCATGTTGCTAAAGTATATAGGAGATATTCGTGGATGTATAAAACTAATTATTATTAATGTGTCTTGTTAACAGGACACTTTGGGTGAGCATTTAGTGGTCTCACTTAAAATGGAGTCTGGCCTGGCCGGCGAGGCTCCGTGGTTGAACACCCACCTATGGTCCAGGCTAATGGGGTTGGATTCCTGGTCAGGGCACATGTCCCGGTTGTGACTTCAATGCCCAGCAGGGGGCGTGCAGGAGGCAGTGGATCTATGACTATCTCATTGATGTTTTTCTCTCTCACCCTCTTCCTTCTTCTCTCTCTGAAATCAATAAAAATATATATTTTTAAAAAAGTAAAAGATGTAATCTTGTTTTTGGTAGTATATTTTTACAATTCTGTTTCAGTTTCAGTCAAATGCCTGCAAATTTTAATGTCTCCAATGAGTTCATGGTCTTTTTGAGGAAAACAGACATTCAAATAAAATGTACAAGATGATAGTGCAGTAATGAAATGTGTGACGTAAATGTTAGCCAAATTTCTGGTTAAGATCGTATAGCTTTTTTTAGAAAAATAATTTTTTATTGTTTTTTGTTTTTAAAGAGAGAAACAATGTGACAGAACATTGATCTGTGGTCTCCTGCATGCCCCCTACTAGAGATTGAGCCCCAGACCTGGGCATGTATCCTGACTGGGAATCTAACCAGTGACCTCTTGGTGTATGGGACGATGCTCAATCCACTGAGCCACACCAACCTGGCAAGATCACATAGCTTTTTAAAAAGAAACCAATGTAGTTGTCTGTCACTGATATGGCTGTCAAAATTTTACAAATGGGTGTATTTATCATTAACAGTGCATGTCTTGCAGAAGTGGGTAGCTGAATGAACTCACTAAAAATGATGCCAAGGTCACAGACTCAACTGCAGTGAAGTTAGTTAGCTTTGCTCTGTTGTGACCACTCATAGTACCCTTAGGCTCACAAATATTGTTGGTCTCAGGGTAATGGGATGAGGAAACATGAATATATTACCATTCCACTGATGGTAATATCTACATAAATAATAATTATCACAATGTTACAATCAGTTTAAGATGCATATCAGTATTTCCTTATGGAAGGAGTTTTAAATATACCTTTTCTATAAAATATGTACTTTATATAAAATCATTAATCCTGTGAAAGTGAGTGTAATGATAACAGGAAAACAGAGTATTGGAAAAATAACATTGAAGGGAGTAGAAATCCGAAGGTTTTTATCTCTGAAAGTATCCTAAAACTTGCCAGCCTTTTAAATTTATTTTTGGAGGAATTAATTCTTGCACATGTATAAACCTCCTAGGATATAAAAGGAAATACAGTAGAAGTCCTACTCCTAGCTAACTAGTTCTCCCTAAAAACAGCCAGTATTTGAGTCTTATGTTGTTACATTAACACTGGATCCTTAACTATAGCATGACAGATATAATCACTGTTTATCAATGAAAAAAACTGAGACTCAGAAAGTTTGCAATTGGTACAAGGTCACACTCCTACCGGATGTCAGAGCTACAAATAGAACCCAGGACTTTTACCTTCTAATCCAAGATAGTCTTAAACTACACTGCTTCTCCAAATCATACCTGTTGCCATAAAACTTAGACTTTAGTGAAACAAACCAGAGTGTGAAAACAATTTTATTAAAGTCTAGAGTCACCTTACACTAGTTTGTAGGTAAAACTTGTTTCCTACAAAGCTTAAATGTAAGCATATGTAATTATTATAAAGCAAGGAAAAGAATAATCTATAATCAGTTAAAACATTTTTTTGCCTTCTGTTTCTGTTGAAATCTATTAAGTTAGCTTGCAAAAACTACAAAACTTATATAATTAAAGTTTGGTTGTATACACCCATAATATTTTTAAAGAATTTAAAATGTTAAGACTTCTTAAAAGTAGCATGTTTATACCCTGGCCAGTGTTGCTCAGTGGTTCAGTTGTTGGCCCCGCACTGAGTCTCAGGTTTGATTCCCAGTCAAGGGCTCATAACCTGGGTTGCAGGCTCGATCCCCGGCCCAGGTCAGGGCACATGCAGGAGGCAACCAATCGATGTGTTTCTTTCACATCGATGTTTCTTTCCCTCTCTCTCTCTCTCCTCCTCCCTCCCACTCTCTCAAAAAATCAATGGAAAAAATATCCTCAGATGAGGATTAACAATAAATAAATAAATAAAATAGCATGTTTATTATCAGAAGTAATATAAAGTGCTTTATCGTATTTCAGAAATGCTGAAGCACCTTCATCCTCAGTTTTTTGATGTGCAGATTTTCTAGCCTTATATATAAGTATCCTTTGTTTCACCTCTTTCCTTTTTTAATCTTAATTTTGCTACTTTCCCACCTTTCATTTTTACAAATTAGCTTCTACATGAAAAGTTATGAGTAGTAATTGAAAGCAGTGAATATGTCTTTTCATTAATTTTGATGTATGCTGTTTTCATACATTTTAATCCTGGCAGTAAAAACACGAGGCAGCTGGCATTATTCAGACTTTACAGGGGGACATTGAAGCTAAATGAGGTTTTTTAAATTAGTTGACTAGTGAAAAAGTCTTAATTTTAGCCTGTGTTTGATGATTTTGCAGCTCATGCTATTTCATCTGTACCATGATCATTTTAAACATAGTATAGTAAAAACTGCAGATTTTGTATGAAGCTTTAAAACTTTAAAATTTTCTCTTAAACTGAATTGCTCTTATAGGGAAAATAGACTTCAAGGAAACAAGCCAAAATGTCTAAATTGACTGCCTAATTGAATTACAGTTGACCCTTGAACAACTCAGGAGTTAGGGGCCACAATCACCTGCCCCCACGCTCAGTCAAAAATCTGAGTATGACTTTTGACTCCCCCAAAACTTAACTAATAGTCTACTGAAAGGTTAGTGTCGGTGGTGCGCGGGCAGGCTAAATGGCCATCTCAGACAGCTGAATAAAGACAAATTTATTTAAATAAAAGGGGGTGGGGATAACGTAAGGGAAGGGCTACACAGCATTAAGCCAAAGGGTATTGGGTCCATGATGGCAGCAAAAATATACTTGGGATAGTGAAACAAGGAAGAGCATAGAAGAGGTAACAGGAGAGCCTAGACTGGGCTGCTTTGGCTCACTGAGGAGTCAGAGAGAGAAGGGGGCCTTGGAGACAGGTTCAGGAGGCAAGCCCGGGATGAGCTGCCGCTGCCCATTGCTCCCCTGGTTGCAAGTCTCCTGGGGTCCCCTCAGAGGGAAAAAGGGGAATGGAGATGGTATTGGTATGCTCCCCTCATGGGGAGCTCACTCATGAATCTTTTGTCCTGAGTGTGTGTATCTTTCTTGCAGGTGGAAATCTTAAGGGAGGTCTCAGGGGAGTGTCTCAAAAGAATATTTATCAGCTTTCCAGGTGTGCTCTTTCAGGGTCATGGTCTCCACTGATTGGTGGGTGCCAGGGCAGGGAGGGGGTCATTAGTCAATGTATCTGGTCCTGAGGCAGCCATTGGGGAGCCACTTGTCTGATTTTGCCTGATTTTCTGGGCCTGGAGCTAAAATACAGCTGAGGCCTAGATGTTATCTTTAGGGAGGAAACACTAAGGGGGCCTAAACTGCATGACCAGGGATATGCTGGGGTAGGATAGGTTGCCCTGGGGACAAGGTTCTTGTTTTGCCCCTTACTAGGCATCTGGGGCTTCCTGCCCTGGTAAGCTTCTGTACCTGGGTTTCTATACCTGGCCCATCTAACACCTACTATTGACCATAAGCCTATCTATTAACACATATTTCTTATTTTATATATACATATATGTTTTTACAATAAAGTAAGCTAGAGAAAAGAATATTGTTAAGAAAGTCATGAGGAAGAGAAATATATTTATAGTAGTGTATGTATTTATTGGGAAAAAAATCTACATATAACTGGACCCATGCAGTTCAAACATGTGTTGCTCAAGGGTCAACTGTATAGTATTTTTCCCTTTTTATTGATTGATTGATTGATTCTTTGAGAGAGTGAAAGAGAGGCCGATTTGTTGTTCCACCCATCTATGCATTCATTGGTTGATACTTGTATGTGCCCTGACTGGGGATCAAACCTGAAACCTTGCTTAGCCTGGCATGGCACAACGGTTGAGCATCGACTTAGGATCCAGGAGATTTTGGTTCGATTCCCGGTGAGGGCACATGTGTGGGTGCAGGCTCGATCCCCAGTCGGGGGCATGCAGGAGGCAGCCAATCAATGATACTCTCATCATTGATGTTTCTCTCGCTCCCTCTCTCTTCCTCTATCTGAAATCAGTAAAGATATATTTAAAAAAACAGAAAAACCCTGAAACCTTAGCGTATCAGGATCATGCTCTAACCAACTGAGCTACCTGGACAGGGTTGTTTTTCCTCTTTTTAAAACTTTTCTGAATGTTTCATTTATTTTATAATGAGCATGTATTGTTTTTATAGTTAAAAAATTATAAATTACAAGTAAAAATATATCTGTACAATCCGATTTATTCTCTAAAGTACTATAATAGTATATCTTAAATATTGTGGTTTCTAAGAGTCTGTTAAGGTTCTTCCACTTTTAGAAGTCCATGTACTGCCAGCTTTTAGTTTTCTGCTCTCTCTTAACTCTAGATCAATGATTTTCAACCTTTTTCATCTCGTGGCACACATAAACTAATTACTAAAATTCTGTGGCACACCAAAAAATATATTTTTGCCAATCTGACCAAAAATTAGGTATAATTTTTTTTATAGTTTGTTGATTTTTAGAAAGAGAGGAAGGGAGGGGGAGAGAGAGAGAAACATCAGTGAGAGAGTACAACACTGATCTGTTGCCTCCTGCACACCCCCTCCTGGGGATTGAGCCTGCAACCTGGGCATGTGCCCTTGACTGTAAGTGGAACCGGCAATCTCCTGGAGCATGGGATGAAACCCAGCCAACTGAGCTAGGGTAGGTATAATTTTGATTCATTCACACGCGTGGCTATTGTGTTGGCTGTTGTCATTTTTTTATTTGACATTCTAAGGAAAAAGAGGTCAGTGCCCCTAACAGCCAAGTATTGCATGTTTTAAATATTCTTGTGGTACACTGGTTGAAAATCACTGCTCTAGATTATCTTCCTTCAGTTACAGGTTACTAGACATTTCTCTTTAGCTAGCATGTTCAGGAAATGTACACTCATTTTAATATTAGCCCAAGTTAAGTGGTTCCCCAAAATTTACTCCCCCAAAAAAGTTTGTGGCAAGTTAAATATGGAAAACTATGACTTAAGTGGGTTTCTTAACCTAAGGACCTCTTGGAACCTTGCATAAGCAAACTATTATTAGGAAAGTAAGTGGAGAAGAGGAGAGTACAGTAGTACTAATCAATGATTCCCTTTTTTTTTTTAAATACAGTTAAGCCCCACCCTGACCAGTTAGTTCAATTGGTTAGAACATCATCCTGATACACCAAAGTTGTGGATTTGATCCCTGGTCAGGGCACATACAGAAAGCAACTAGTTAATGCGTGGATGAGTGGAACAACAAATTAATATTTCTCCCTTCCTCTCTCTCTCAAATCAATAATAAATAAGTTAAGACCCATGAGCCCTGGCTTAGTAGCATGAAAAAAAGGAGACACAGTTGACCCTTGAACAACACGAGTTTGAACTGCACAGGTCCACTTCTACGTGGATTTTTTTCAATAAATATATTGGAAAATTTTTGGAGATTTTTAATAATTTGGAAGAACTCACAGATGAACCACATAGAAAAATGGAAAAATTAAGAAAAAGGGATGTCATAAATGCATAAAATGTATGTAGATACTAGTCTATTTTAACATTTACTACCATAAAATATACACACATCCACAATAAAAAGTTAAAACTAATTAAAACTTACACAAACATTTACAGACCATACATGATGCCATTCATAGTGGAGAGAAATGTAAACAAACATAAAGATGTAGTATTAAGTCATAACTGCATAAAATTAACTGTGGTATGTACTGTAATAATTTCATAGCCACTTTCTGTTGCTATTGTGGTGAGCTCAGTTGTTGTGAATATCTGCTTAAAAGGCCGTGTGACACTAGTCATCTCATTGTGAACAGTTTGTCTCTCCAATAAATTGTGTATCATAGTTAAAAGTGATCTCATGGCTCTCACATATTTTTCATCATATTTAGCGCAATACCATAAACCTTGAATAACAACATGGGACCTATATGAAGTGCCACTAGTGATCCTGGAAATGCTCCCAACAAGTAGAGAAAAGTCATGACATTACAAGAAAAAGTTGAATTGCTTGATATGTATTTTAGACTGAGATCTACAGCTGTGGTTGCCCACCATTTCAAGATAGATGAATCCAGTGTACGGACCATTGTAAAAAGGAAGTAAAGGAAATTTGTGAAGCTATCGCCAGTGCTTACGCCAGCAGGTATGAAAACCTTGCATTTTTTGCGAGATACCTTTTTATCTCGTATTGAAAGTGCAGCTTTTATGGGGGTGCCTGATTGCTATAAGAAAGGCATACTTGCCTGGCTGGGAGTGTCTCAGCGGTTGAACATCGACCTAGGATCCAGGCGATCGGGGTTCGATTCCCGGTCAGGGCACATGCCCGGGTTGCAGGCTCGATCGATGACTCTCTCATCATTGATGTTTCTATCTCTCTCTCCCTCTCCCTTCCTCTCTCTGAAATCAATAAAGATGTATTGTAAAAAAAAAAAAAAAAATTTAAAAAATAAAGAAAGGCATACTTATATACTAATATGATTCGAGAAAAAGTAAGGTCATTATATGACAACTTAAAGCAAAAGGAAGGTGAAGGATCTAAAGCTAGAGAATTTCATGCCTGCAAAGGATGATTTGATAATTTTAGAAAGAGATTTGGCTTAATAAATGTCAAGATAACAGGAGAGACAGCTTCTGCCAACCAAGAGACAGCAGACAAGTTTCCAGACGCCATTAAGAAAATCATTGAGGAGAAATACTATCTGCCTGAACAGGTTTTTAATGCAAAGCTAATAGACACCACACCAGAGAAATTAACAGAAGAGGACTTGATGGAGATGAGTGTTTCCAAACCAGAGCCAGATGATGAGGAAGACGACGTAAAAGAAACAGCACCAGAAAACAAATTGACATTAGACAATCTGGCAGAAGAGTTTCAATTATTTAGGGTGGCTTTTGACTTCTTTTATGACATGGACCCTTCTATGATATGGGCACTGAAACTAAAGCAAATGGTGAAAAAAGGGTTGGTCCTTGATAGAAGTATTTTTAGAGAAATGAAAAAGCAAAACTGTCCGACAGAATTTACAGTGTATTTTCATAAACTTACACCGAATGTGCCTGTGTCATCTCCCCTTCTACCTCCTCTTCTACCTCTACCACCCCTGAGATAGCAAGACCAACCCCTCCTCTTTTTCTGCCTCCTCAGCCTAAAAACAAGGACGGAGACCTTTATGATGTTCCACTTCCGCTTAATGAGTAGTAAATAATCATGTTGTACAGTTAATACACTTATCTGTTGTGTATGCATGTGAAACTCTACTGTATGCCTAGAACTGTACTGTATGAGATGTTTTCGTGTCATCGTCTAAATATTCATCATGTAGAACATCGTGCAAAATTTGTATTGTAAAGTGGATAGCCTATCCTTACATAGGCATAGGTGAGTGATACTTAATATAAAATTAATAATGTGTTAGTTTTCTTACTGTTTTATAACTTTGCTTTCTAAGAATTACATTACTGCACATCATGACTCTCTCATAATTGGAGAAACTGCTTATCAGCCTATCATAAGTGATTTTAAATAAACATATAACAATGTTTCCAATACTGTATTATGAATATGACTGTAATACTGTGTGCCCATAAAAATTCTTTAACAATTCATTCATTAGTGTATAGGCTGAGGTACCATGAAGCAGTGGTATCATTTACACAAGGCTACCCTGAAGTGATCCTATTGCTGCTGCTTCATTATCAGTGCATGAATCATTATACCTGTAAATAAATAAGAATTTCTTTTACACATTATCTTTTCATTATTGATGTCTGGTGTTAGTAATATATATATATATATATATATATGTCATTGTTTTGTATTATATAAGACAATATTGATGTAGGTACTGACAGATTATTCATTTTGTAAATGGATGATGTAAACTTAATGATATTCATAAATAAGCACAGTACTGTAAATGTATTTTCCTTATGATTTTTTAAAGATTTCACTTATTGCTTTTAGAGAGAGAGGGATGGGGAAAGAGAGAGAGACAGAGAGACAGAGAGAGGGAGAGAAACATCTATTTGTTGTTCCACTGATGCATTCATTGGTTGCTTCTTGTATGTGCTCCTATCAGAAATTGAATCCACAACCTTGGCGTATCAGGACAACGCTCTAACCAACCAAGCTACCTGGCCAGGGATCCTCATGACTTCCTTAATTACATTTTCTTTCCTCTAGCTAACTTTATTGTAAGAATATAGTATATGATGCATATATGGTATACATAATACCATATCATATAATATATATGTTATGATACATATGTAACATACAAAATATGTGTTAATTGACTGTGTTATCTATAAGGCTGCTGGTCAACAGTAGATTATTAGAAGTTAAGCTTTTGAGGAGCCAAAGGTTATACACAGATTTTCAACTGCATGGGGGGATCAATGCCCCTAACCTCCATATTGTTCAAGGGTGAACTAACTGTACTTTAAAATATATAGTGGAAAATGAATCTGTGTGGCTTTTGTAATGAAAAAAAAAATTTTTAATTCAGAGATTTTTCTCATGAACAAATCCATTTTTCATAATTGTTTTCTTTACCATTCCAAGGAATTCGTTTGTTTTTTACTATTCAACATATTCCTAAGTGTTTCTATAAACTCCCAACACAAATGGAGCCTAAATGTTTCTATAGTCTCCAACACAAATATCAGACTATAATCAAATATCAACAACTGTGACCCACAGAATCTAATTCAAATTTCACTGACTGTGATCAGAATGCTTTCAAGGAGGCACGTAATGGTAGGTAAACTTTGGAATCATGGATTTGGTAAGGAAGTTCCCAGGGTGCATTACTATTAGAATAATAATTTGTCCACGAATTCTTTATGTAATATAGTAAAGTGTTCTTTATAGGATGAAATATATTTTAATTTAGCATTAACATGAATTTTGTTCTTGGATGTACATTACCATTATATATCTAGTAGTTGTTCAATGAATAACTAATATATATGATAATGATCCCTTATCCAACATCATAGAGAATATAAATGAATTTTCCAGATAAATGAAGTTTAACCTTTTAATTAAGGGATTTTTAACAGTTTCTATAGAAATCTTGAATTTAAATCACCTTCCAGGCCTCAATAGAACTAACTAAATATTATTTAATTCTTTTATTAGTGTACAGTGGCCATGTCGGGTATTCATTCTATTATCACTGTCATTGCAGTTGGTGCCAGAACCAGGGACCAAATGACTACTGAATCTGAGAAAAAGTATTTGCTTTTTCGAAAAAGTATTTTCTATAAACTTGCTTTTTAGACATTTGCCTCTGGCTCATTAAGAAATAATATGTTTTAAAAAGATGTCATTGTGTACTCTGCAGAGAAATGTAACTTAGCTGCCTTCATAAAAAATTAATTATTGAATCAAGAGCCAAAGTAACCTTCTCCCAAGTGATTCTTTCACCCTCTTTTTTTTTTTTTTTTAAAAAAAAGCTCTTTGCAGTTACCAGCAAAGATCTGATTTGTCAGCATCTTTCAAAGTGTCTTTGAATTCTGTACTACATAAAAATGGCAGTAAAGCCATCTTCTTATCATTTTGTATGTTTTCTTCTCCCTCACACAAAGTTTATATAAAATTTCAAGAATACCTGAAACTAATACTGTTGTATGTCAGTTATACCTCAATTTAAGAAAAAAAAAGAATGAACATAGGCTGTTTTTGAAAGGACTCGTTCAGATTCGGGGTCCTACACTTTTTTTACATTAAGATTTTACATGTATAGGTAAGACACCAGTGCACTTTTTTTAAACTCATCTTTAGTCTTTAAAAGTGTGACAATAAAAATAGTTTTGTTCTTACTAAAAATTAATATTATTTTTATTTAGAACAATGTGATTGGATTTTTTATTTTAAGAATTTTGGGGTCCTGGCTGAGTAGCTCATTTGGTTAGAACATTGTCCCGATATGCGAAGGGTTTCAGGGTTTGATCCCCAGTCAGGACACATACAAGAATTAACCAACGAATGCACAAATAAGTGGAACAACAAATTGGTGTTTCTCTCTCTCCCTCAATCAATAAAAAGAATTGTTTATTTAAAAAAAAAAAAAAAGAATTTTGGTTTAATTAAACTTCTGGAAGAAATTAGAAAATTCTTTCTCCATGTATTTAAATGTAAAGATATGAGATTTATATACATGATGTTTATCCTCTTGTAACAAAATTATGTAATAGTAAATTCTGAATATATTTTTATCTAAAATGATCTCCATAGCAAAAGTTTTTGTGTGTGTTTTTTAATATGTTTTGTTTGTTTGTTTATTTATTTATTTATTTATTTATTTATTTTAGAGAGAGAGGAAAAGAGAGGGAGAGAGAGAAACATCAATGTGAGAGCACATCAATGGGCTGCCTCCTGCAGGCCCCCTATTAAGGATCGAGCCTGCAACCAGGGCATGTGCCCCTGATCTGGAATTGAACCAGCAGCCTCCTGGTGCATGGGGGATGCCCAACCGAGTCACACCGGCCGGTTACTATCTTAGTAATTGCTAAGATGTTTCCTATACCATAAAGTGATCAGTTTTGTCTCCCTCCCTCCTTCCCTTCCTTCTTTTTTTTGAAAAGCACTTGTGAGCACTTGAATTATCCTCAGTATGGCTTCAAGGTACTAGGACACAGCTTCCCCATCGCCTCACCCCCAACGCCTTTAGTCGTCTTCTCAGCTCTTCTGCTGAAAAACTTGGCCTTCACAATGACAGCCTGCTTTGGGAACTTCCTCTTCCCCAGAACTTTGTGGTAGCCCAGTCACACCACATCAACGATAGGAGCAGCTCCAGTCTTGTTTTAGGTAGCATTTACCCACGTTCTACTCACTGACCAAGGTCCACATTTTATCAAGGTAGACAGTTGGGGAGAAGCTCTGGTTCTTTAAGTGGTAATGCCTCATACCAACTTTCCCACAGTAACCTGGATGATATTTGTCAAAGTTGATCCTGTGATGATGCATGCCACCAGCATTACCTTAGCCTCCTGGGTGCTTCCAATTCAGCCATGGCCATGGCTCACAGGGCCCAGAAGTTTCTAGGTTTTCCTCAGTCTGGATAACACATTGGTGGTTGAGACACAAGAAGGCCTCTTCGAAGTTTTGCACTTGCCTTTCTTTCTTAATATATCTGCTAAGTCGCTTCTAAGAGCCACCTGTTATCCCAGTAAAGTTAATCAAATTTAGAACACTTGTCATTTTGTAAAAGAAAAATGCGTAACTTGTCTTAAAAGTTTAAAATGTATTCAAATATTTTGCTCTGAGATAATTAGCAAACCATGTGTGTTAAAAAATTTCCATGATCATGTCTATTTACACAGTATTGTAAAGATTCTTTTATTTAAGATGATATATTCCACAAATCTCTTTCAACAACATGCAAGCAGTTGTGATACACTGAAAGTGAATAAAGAAATGGAGATGGCACAATCAAGTCCTCAGCTTTTTGGAACTCCAACTCTTCCCTCAGGAACAGCACACCTTCAGACAAGTAACCCATCTAACAGTCAGTGATTGGAACATTGTCAACCACCTATTCAATATTTATAAATTTTAATTTTCTAACTTTTAGACAAATATAAATGGAACAGAAATTTTACTCCTACTTGGGACACTACAACATTATGTGACATTTTGGCCCATATAGTGATATGATGCTGTGTTTTGTCAAATCACTTTTTGCCATAACAGTTTTAAAAAATAGGACTTCTGAAGCATCAACTCAGTTTTCTAGCAAAGGAATAGCTATGTAAAATTTATATAAGGCTATAATTTGTAGATACAATTAGATAATCAGAAGATTTTCTGAGTATTAATTCTTTAAGTACAGGTAAATGTATGGAAAATTTATCTCAGGTAATGATATTTTTCACTTTATTTTATGGACACCTGTAGCAGTAGCACATTAAGAACTGTTAACCTAAAATCCAGAGATACTTGATTGATTGGTACCTACTATATACAAGTTGATAAGCCTTGCTAGAGTAAACCTGTTATGTTATCATGTAAACTTATATAGAGAAAGGCTGGATATTGGTTATCTGGGGGAAAATATCAGATTGTTCTGTAGCTTCACGATCTGTTGAGTTTCAGTATCTGGCATATTGATTCTTTTTGACTTTGAAGAATAAGTCATCCTTCCAAAAATGGTATTTGCTCATAAACTATGGTCTGTGTTGGGCTAGAGAGAGATATTCTGTGATTCCTTCATTATGAGCTATTTGTGTAAAACTGGCTTAGGTGCTTTAATATGTTAACATTTACTGAGTACATAATACATTTAGAATCTGAGCTGAGTACTTTACATACATTATTTCATTTAATCCGCAACAGCCCAATGAAATAGATAACATCAGTACCTCCTCTTTACAAAGAAACTGAGGTTTCAAGGTCATATGGCTAGTTTAAAATAAATTGTACCCAAGCCGAATGTTTAATGCCTGCTGTCACTGTTGTAGAACTGCATCCTTGTCATATACAGGTATAGAGATACTGAAAATGTTAAAAATTTTTACTGGGTGGTAGGATGATGGATAGTTTTTACATTTTTATTTTTCTTCTTTTTTTTTTATCCTCACCCGGGAATATTTTTTCCATTGCTTTTCAGAGCGAGTAGAAAGGGGAGAGAAAGAAACATCAATGTGAGAGAGACCCATCAGTTGGTTGCCTCCCACACTCACCCTGACTGGGGCTGGGGACTAGCCTGCAGCTGAGGTATGTACCATTGGTTGGAATCGAACCCGGGACCATTCAGTCCGTGGGCTGATGCTCTAACCACTGAGCCAACCTGGCCAGGGGAGTTTTTACATTTTTCTTTACAACTTTGTCTACTTTGAATTTTTCACAGTATGAATTACTTTAAATTTATTCATCAAAATGATATATGCATCTAGGTTAAAAATTAAATTAAGCTGAAAAGCTTAGATAATCTAAGAAACACTACACTTCTCTCCTGCCCATCCCAAAGGCATCTACTTTCTAATTTTTTAACTGTTTTTGTGATAATTACCTTCATGTTTCTAAATAATATGTTTATACTTTGCTGTCTTGATTCATCAATTATTAGACATTATCAGTTGAGTTCTTATGATACATGAGGATTTACCTCTATTTTAGACTCCTCTTACCATTCTTTTCTAACAGTTATATTACAGTTCGGTTACTATGTAAATATCATTCACTGCCAAGCCATGTATTTCATACTATTTTCTTTCTTGTATAATGTTTTAATTTTTCTGTAATTCAGTTAATTACCCAATTCTTTTTCCATTGCTTTCTTATCTTCTCAATTGAATTTTCCAAAAATCAGTTGTATTTTTTCCTTTAAGATCGTCCTCCTTGGGTGGAGCTTTATGTCTTTGTGTGGTTGTATGAATGACTTGCTCTCCCGCAGCTCTGAATACCTTCCTCTCTCCTATGTTAAATGTCTTGTTTCCTGTGTTGCTTCCTTTGTTTTGGCTTTATACCCTAATTTTAGAAGAGCATATTATCCAATATGAGATAAAATTGTTGATACTTTGCACATCTGAAAATTTTTTTATTTTATCCTCATATTTGATTGATTGTTTGGTTAATCTCTTCAAGGTAAGAAACTAGCCTCTAGCTTCCAGTGGTACTGTTGAGAAGCTAAATGCCATTTTATTTAGCCCTTTGATTGTGACTTTTTTCCCTCATGAAGACTTATTGGGGGGAGAGGGGCTATTTTTATTTAGTTGTTTACTTATTTTATTTTATTGTGGTAAAAACACTTAACATGAGATTTACCCTCTTAACAGATTTGTAAGCATACAGTACAGTATTGTTGCCTATACGGTAGGAAGACTTATCTCCTTATCTCAAGTAATGTAACTTAATGAGTATTTTTCCCCAGCATTGCTGGGTGCTCAGTGGGCTTTTTCATTATAGAGGCTTATGTCCTTCAGTTCTGGAAAATTTTCTAACGTAGTTTCTTTGATAATTTTCCCCCTACATTTTATTTTCTGTGAAATGTCTGTATTGATCCTCTAATTTTCTTTCTTTTTTAGATTAAAGTAGTGATTTTTAAACAAAGAAAGCAGAACTAGAACATCTTAAATAAATTTTAATCCTTTCTTTACAGGTTACCTAGACCACTTTGGATTAAGAAAACTGTAGAAAGTTAATAACTGCCCCCAGCGAACGTCAGGCGGTGGCGCGTGTCCATTTTCCACAGAGTCCTGCTATGCCGGGTGTCTGAGTGCACTGCTCGGGGTCTCTGCTCACGCTCCCTGGAATCAATGGCAGCCGATTTTAGTCCGCAGGTCGCTTTTCTCCATATTTCTTTGTAAACTCTTCAGCATTCTTACAGAATTTTTTACGATCCTTAGAGTATTCTTCAGCTAGGTCAGCCCGAAGGGGGTGCTCGGTCTGGGGGTCGTTCACCAGTGCTATGAGGGACTGGATGACTTGGTCGGTTTTGGTTGCTGGCTTCCAGTTTTCAGCACTAATTACTGGCAGACAGACCTGCCCCTTTTCATCGATGTTGGGGTGATAGATCTTTGTCTTAAATGTTATCGTCGGTGGTTTGAAGGGGTACTCCGCTGGAAAGCTGATTTCGATTCTGAAGGCCCCCTTATCATATGGAGGGTTGTCAGGAACAATAAGCCCATGCCAAGTCAGTAAATTAGCCTCATCAACCTGGATGTTACGGAAGTTTTTCATTCCACATTTGCGGATTTCTTCAAGCTCCTTCATCAGCCGCCTGCTGGCCGCCATCTTGGGTCCGGCGCTGTTGCTTTCCCAGCGTGCATTGCGGGGGGCGGCAGCCCCTGCGCTTCCTCGGTCGTCTGATTTTCTTAGCTTTTGTCTAACCATTTTTTTCTTATTTTCCGCTATTTCCTCAACTCATTCTCTCACTTCCCTATTGAATATTTTATTTCTGCAAATGAACTTTCTTAGTCTCTGATTATCCCACACCTCCTTTTAGTCATTCTTAGGTGTAAAATCTTAATTTGGAATAAACCGATTTTATTTTATTCTCCGTTTATGGTTACCGTTTTCTACAGATTCCTCATGTTTTAGTCTCCGTTGTTTATGTTAGAGGCTTTCTTCAAAACAGCCCGCGAGCACCCCTGTCCTAGAGGGAACGAGACAGGTCCGTGCCGCCGAGAGGCTGCGCGGGCGCGGGG